CCCCGTCAAAAAGCCCAGGATTCGGCCGAATCCGAAGCCGAATCCTGGATTCGGTGCATCCCTACTTTTTATATAGGCTACTCTTTGGCCATTTTTGTTACTTTTGATGTTGAAGGAGCATTTGAAAAAACTTACAGTGCATAAAAAATATTGTGTGGTGTGCATTTCAAAGTCAATCTTTTGCACTCAGCTGTATTTGTAAAAATGTCCCGGGTTTTTCCACTAATCAAAGGTGGCAACCCTACTATCCCCCGGGCCATCAGAATGATCAACAACTGCCACCCTCTAACACTTCCACACTGCATTCTGTATTTCACATGCATTTGCACATATGTCTGTACTGGACTGATAAGCACCAGCCACTTTGTCTGTCCTTGTTAATAAACAGCGCGAGTGTCATCGATAGCTGCAGGTGTCACGTGAGCGGCATTTCTGTCCGTGTACCTTTGCATCAAACACCCGTGGGTAATATTATCTAACGTCGGTAACATTAACTCGGAAAGGACAATTGCTCCTGAGCTTTGCTCGGTTGCCGGTCGGGGCTGGGAGGACATTTTCCACTTTTTTTCCCGCTTCGGCAGTAGCCTGCTTTGAGAGGGTTTTTTGTTTTTTTTTCGACCTCCCTAGAGCAACTTCGCTTTATTTTAGTTAAACGTGGTTCAGTAGGAAGTTAGCCTTGGGTAGGTAACTGTTAATTAGGTTATTTTTAAGTTTAATTTCAAGAGTTGTTATCTCTGACACTGTCGGATAATTTAAAAAGCTGCGTTTTAACGCAAGTATTCATTTAGTATTTTATTGTACTGGGCAACTTATAATTTTAGCTATATATTAATTAGATCAACTAAAAGTTAAATACGCTATATTAATATACTGGGCTGGAAGTAAAGGACGGGGTCATAGTGAGTTAGGTAATTATGGGGCCAGCTCAGTGTTGTGTTTGCAAGATGTTTGCCCTTCTGGATGTTAGTGTCTGCGAGCGATGTAAGCTAGTGGACTCACTCATGGTCAAGGTTCGAGACTTCGAGGAACAACTGGCTCTCATCTGACACAACAAGGAGTTAGAGGAGAGAATTAATACACCTTTTAGGGAGACGGTGTGTACGTCACAAGTGGGGAGGGGGGAGAATGAAGAACAGGTAGGTCGATAGAACTTGGTGAAGGTAGGTCACGTAGAAAAGGGCGTACACAGTTTACAGAGGCGGCATCACCTGAAGTGACGGTGTCTAATCGCATTACAGCCGGAAGAGACTGGGGAGGCAGGCGGGCCCTTGGGCACCTAGGAGCCCCCTACCTCCAGGAGGAGGGAGGTTGTGGTAGTAAGGGATTCAGTTATTAGAGGTGTAGATAGTTATGTGTGCAGCCGTGATAGAGGGTCCCGTACGGTGAACTCTGAGCTATTAGTTAAGTTCTCCCCAAACAAGCTTGATGGGCCGAATGGCCACGTCTCATTTTAAATTTCTTATATATGAGTTCTTATAACTAGTGATTTTAATATTTACATCAACAGTGCTAATGGCAGCACTTCTAAAGAACCTATTACTTTATTTGATCTGATACAGCATGTAACTGGGGTCACTAATATCCAAGGCCACACATTGGATTTTGTTATCAGCAG